CAGTGTTTCAAGTAACACAAGAAGTAACAGTGGCAAAACCTACATATTCAACATTGTAGCACCAAAATCCATGTCTCACATGCATGGGGGATTTTATCTCGATCCCTAATTAGAGATAAGTCAGCATCTAACACATGCTGCCGGGTAACCTATTCCCATAATAATAGCAAAGCCTACGTATTCAACATCGTAGCGGGTCGTTATTAATAACGCCAAAATCCATGTCTTACACACATGGGGAACCTTATCCCAAATCCTAAGTAGGGATAAGCCTACGCCTAACACGCGTCGCCGGTTAGTCTTTTTCCGTAAAAATGACAAAGTCTATGTATTCAAAATCATAGCATCAAGTCTAAGAGGGTTCATTCTCTTAGCACAACGTTACATGTGGAACGGACTTAGACAATCCATATGCTAGCCCGACTCAAACGGTAGTCGGTAAAGGCTTATCAAATCCGTTCATGGCTGAGGGTTTGCCAAAAATCCTATGCATGTTTATAAATCCATTAGTTTAATGGATGTGAGCCGAGACTTGAAACGAATAAGCTGAAGACAAGTCTCAAAGACTTAGTCAAAAATGCACGGAAGCCACTTCCATGTCTCAAGTCAAAACGCCGAGGTCAGACCCGCGTTGCAAAAATCATGACGCCGAGGTCACATCCGGGTTCCAACTTTAAAAACGCCAAGGTCAGACCCGCGTTACAAAAATCATGACGCCGAGGTCACATCCGGGTCTCAATTCAAAACGCCGAAGTCAGCCCCGCGTCTCAAATTCAAAACGCAGGGGTCCACCCCCGCATTCCAGAAGCAGGATTATGACGCATACCTTCACAAAGGTCCTACGTGGCAAATCCCTTCAACCAAGATGCCTTCGAAGCAAGTGCAGAATCAATAACTCCAAGGTCAGGAGTGAGATCCAAAGTATTCCGAAAATTCGTCCCAGTCAACCGCGAACTTTCGAAAACTTTGGAGGGGGTTCTGTAGGCTGTCTAAAAATCACAATAGATAGTTTATCCCCCATCAAACACCGATGATGGAAGTTACAATCTGACGACTTTCAGGAGATTACAATTTGAAGACTTTCACGTAGATCGCTGAAGGTTACAATCTGACGACCTTCACGACAACCGATGAGAGCTCTACTTCAACAGCCTTCACAATCAACATCGGGAGTTACAAATTGACGACTCTCATATTATCAAGAGCTAAATGTAAGGATTACAATCTGACGATCCTCACAAAAGTTCAAAAACTATGACAAAAGAGATTACTTGTTGATAATCTCTCCAAAGCAAGACGCGGAACTCATCACCGTGCTCTAAGACCAAAACACGGAGGTTCTCCCCGTGTATCAACACCAAAACGCGGAGGTCCTCCCCGTATGTCAACATAAAAACGCTGGAGTTGGATCCGCATTACAACATCAAAACGCGAGGGTCGAACCCACGTTACAACATTAAAAAACGCTGGAGTCGGACCCGCGTTACAACATCAAAACGCTGGAGTCGGACCCGTGTTACAACATCAAAACGCTGGAGTCGGACCCGCGTTACAACATTAAAACGCTGGGGTCGGACCCGCATTTTTCAACACCCAGCGAGTACCGAACTCCGCGTCTCAATTCTAAAACGCGGAGTTAGGATCCTGAACGACCACGTGGGCATTTGACTCGTTTAAACACGAGTTGAACGGTTGCAGGAACCGTTTTCCCTCCACGATTTGAGGGATTGCTGCCCCACTATGGAGAGAATTAAGGGGGCGGTTACACCCCTTAATTTTCTATAAATATGGGTAAACTCAACTGAGTTAAAGGCTGGCATTTTCGGATCTGAGACTGGGCAGCGAGGAGGGAATTTCTTGGCAGCAGGAAGAGGAGATCTTTTGGCTTGGCAACAAGGGGGAGATCGACGTTCATCCTCAGCAACGATCGACCACCGGAGCTTTCTTCTAGCCTTGGCTTATTAACCGATATTCGGTTCAAATCAACTCTTTCACAGAGTTATCAACTCATCAAGAGTTTCAAACTTGCCACGCAAGTTCTCCACAACGTCGAATCGTGAGGAGAAGACATCGTTCCAGTGAATCAAGACGTGCGGATCGTCAACGGAGAGCAAACTCGACGCGAGCATTCGAGGGAGGCACTCCATCGCCACCGAGAAGAACCCAGTTTTAAACAAAGGAGAGAATCAAATTCGTTCTCTTCTCTTTTGTAATCGAATTGTAATCAGAATCAAAGGAATACAAGTAATCATTTAATTATTCTTTGGTTAGTCAATCTCTCCGGACTCCTCACTCAGGAAAGGCTGTGTCGTCTAAGAATACTAGACACTAATCAATGCGTCATGTGTTCTAGTCAATTGGAAAACTGCAAGCACTTGTTCTTTGAATGTCAGTATTCAGCTGATGTTTGGAACAAGGTGATGGACTGGATGGGATTCACGTGGAGATCTTGTGATTGGAGCCAACTCATAAATCGGTACTCCTATAATCTAAAAGGGAGGGGATTCAAGAAGAAGTTGAAGAGAATGGCTCTCTCGGTTGCAAGGTACTCCTATAATCTAAAAGGGAGGGGATTCAAGAAGAAGTTGAAGAGAATGGCTCTCTCGGTTGCAATATACTCAATTTGGCAAGAGAGAAATGTTAGAATCTTCCAAGGGAGAGCTCGTGGCTCTCTCGGTTGCAATATACTCAATTTGGCAAGAGAGAAATGTTAGAATCTTCCAAGGGAGAGCTCGTGGATCTGATAAGCTTTTTCTTGCTATCAAATTCTCCATTTATTCTAAAATTTTGAACGAAACCCTACCTGCAGATATGAAGGAAGTATTTGAGAAAATGTAATTTCTGCTTCTAGTTTACCAGGCTAAGCTAAGTCTGATTTTTGATGTACAGCACTATTTCACAATTGGAAAATGAATAAAGTTTAAATTCATTGACAAAAAAAGTTACTTCATGGTATGAAATTTCTAATAAAATGTAATTGACTTACAACTTATATATTTTACAGGCTGATGACGGCAGTGTACTGACGTGGAGGAGACGAGAGAAGCATTCGATAGAAGATCGACGCTGGAAACATTGGAAACATCACAATGGTAGAAGCTGAGGTAGCTAATCCACAAGGTGCATTTTATGAAACTCTGTCAGTGCCTTGTTATAAACTTCAGTCTAAATTTCAAAGGAAAAAAAACCCCTTCACTTTGGACAATTATTTATCTTTCAAAATATCATAAAAACTCCTTTAAGTTTAGGGGTTGTCATAAGACCCCTTCAGCTTTTAAGATTTTTTCAAAAAACCCTTCTAAAAGTGTGAACCACAATTTTTACTGGCAAAAATCACATTGCGTGATTTGACCAACCTATGTGAACATTGCGGTTAATGCTATTAGGGTTGTTTTCTAATGAAAACTAAATAGAAGTTAAAAGTTGTTTTCTGATAACCCCTAAACTTTAGGGGGTTTCTGATATTTTGAAAGTTATGGGTTTTATCTTATAATTGTCCAAAGTTCGAAGGGTTTTCTGAAATTTAGCGTAAATTTATCTACAATTCTTGAATAATTTTATGTTAGAAATCTGATGCGCGCGAGTCACTTTGTTTTCTTTTTCTTTTCTTCCAGGATTTCAAACCCATGATTAACTACAAACTAGACATGCGTTGATTGTTGATTGTCTTTCAGAAGAGCACCTCTTTCTGGACTCCATACTGAATTTTAATAAGAACAATTTTTCAAAACAGCCTCATTTAGATTTTTATTTTTCAAAATCGACTGTTTTTTCTTTTATTTATCAAAACCGACCCGATTTTGTGATTAACAGTCTAATTACTATCCTAAATAGTCGGGGTTGCCAACCCCGACTATTTAGGATATTAATTTTTAGGGCTTAAGGCCTTTAATTAGGGTTTAACACTATCCTAAATAGTCGGGGTTGGCAACCCCGACTATTTAGGATAGTAATTAGCCTGCTAATCACAAAATCGGGTCGGTTTTGATAAATAAAAGAAAAATCGGTCGATTTTGAAAAATAAAAAATTAGCCTGCTAATCACAAAATCGGGTCAGTTTTGATAAATAAAAGAAAAATCGGTCGATTTTGAAAAATAAAAAACTAAATGGGTCTGTTTTGAAAAATTGTTCTTTTAATAACTTAATGTTGTGACTCTTTTAGATATTGGTAAAGGTCATCAAATTGTTGAGTTTGTTTCTTTGTAAGTTTATGTTACTTGGTAATTTCTTTTGGATTTTGAGTTCATGCACGAAAAGTAGATCAGCTTTGCGAATTCAAAACCTATGTACAGAGCAACTCTCATATTTAACCCCAAAAAAAAAAACAAAGAAAAGTAAAAAAAAAAAAAAAGCTTTCCTACTTGTTAAAGCCCCCGGCTTTATTATTTCCGCAACAAGTCTTCTATTTCACAGCCCACGTGCTCTTGTACACCACAGCACCCATGTAATTTGAAGCCGACAAATATCCGAAATTTTTTTATTGACACCCTAGACTAGGCAAGAAGCTTACCCCGCCCACAGATGTTATTATCAAAGCCCAATTATACATCAACAAAGGCCGTACGGAGGCTAAACATAATATCCAGCTGTTTGGTTATCGGCCCACCCAGCGAACAGATCAGTATCCAAATTTAAGGATTAACGGTTAGACCATCTCCAGCAGGTAGGCAAATTTTTACCTATTTTGTCATGCCACATCAGCTTATTCATCCAACACATCATTCAATAACACCCATTTCTCTTCCATTCCTGCAGCAACTAGTTTTTCAGAAAGTTTTTTACTTTATTAGGGACCCACATGTCTCCATCATATACCCCACCATATTTCTCCACCATATTTATTCATTTCTTTTTCCCTATTTGATATATGTTATTATTATTATTAAAATTATTATTCATATATTTATAATTATTAATTTTTTTAATAATGCAATAAAAAATATATAATATTTAATAATATATTTTTAATTTAATTTTTTATATCAAAAATTCAAAAAAATAAAAACAAAACACACGATATTATTAATCACACCCAATACCAAACATACACGAATTATTAAAAATATTGAAGAAAACACATAGTAAATTGGTAAATCTAATCGAGGGTTGTTCCAAATTTCTGCCAAATGTGCTCGACCAGATCCTTCTTCAACTGAATATGTTGGACCCTATCTCGCAGCTCGGCTCTAGTCGGAATATTCGAATCGGACCGGCCTAGAACATGCACTTGAAACTCAGGCAATACTTCTGTTTGAACATTGAAAGAGGCACTAGAGCCTGATGACTGTTCGAAGTCTAGATTTTCCCAGTTTCGGGAATACGTATCTCGTTCATCCTCTACTATCATGTTATGTAAAATAATGCACGCCCTCATAATTTTCCCTAAGACATCAAGGTCCCACATTCTAGCTGGTTGGCGGACAATAGCAAACCGTGCCTGGAGAACCCCGAATGCGCGTTCCACGTCCTTCCTGCATGACTCTTGTTGTTTGGCAAAAAATTGCTGTTTGTTTCCTTGGGGCATTTGAATTGACTGGACGAAGACAGGCCATTTAGGATAGATTCCGTCAGCAAGATAGTATGCAAGATTGTATTGTCTCCCATTCACAGTGAAGTTTACCCTTGGAGCTTCACCCGACTCAATGTCGTCGAAAACTGGCGACCTATCTAGTACATTTATGTCATTTAATGTACCAGGCAACCCAAAAAAAGCATGCCATATCCACAAATCATATGAGGCAACTGCCTCAAGGATAACTGTTGTTGTTCCCTTGTGTCCACTAGTAAACTGCCCTTGCCAAGCCTTTGGACAATTCTTCCATTGCCAGTGCATGCAATCGATACTTCCAATCATCCCAGGAAAACCACGATCATGGCCAACTTGGAGCAACCTCTGCAAGTCATCCAAATTTGGTCGTCTTAAGTATTCATCTCCAAAACAGGCTATTACCCCTTCACAAAACTTGCGAGTACACTCAATTGCAGTGGATTCCCCTATCTTCACGTACTCATCACAAGCATCCGCTGCCACTCCATATACAAGCATGCGTATGGAAGCCATACACTTTTGGATCGGCGTTAAACCAAGCTTTCCCGCATTATTGCGTCTTTGAATGAAGTAGTTGTCATAATTTGATATAGAGTCCACAATCCGCAAAAAAAGTGGCCTCTTCATTCGATACCTCCGTCGGAATTGTTCGTCAGTGTAGGTGCATGACTCGACAAAGTAGTCGGCCATGAGCCTCTCATGAGCAGCATGGTGATCTCTATATATTGATTTTCTCTTATGGGGTTGTTCGCTTCTCCTTTGCAATTCTTCAAGAAGTTCTTGCTGCCTATCAAGTATTTTTCCTTCTAGCTCCCATTGTCGTTGGAACTCTTCGAGATCAAAGCCATTTGGGGGTAGATCCATTGGGTTGTTTGAAGAAGAAGGTTTGAATTGCTAAGTGTTGATAGTGAGTGGTTTTCATATGATGTGTGATACATTATTTATAATGAATGACCTACGGATTCCAATAAGTTGAATGAAAGGATTAGGTATGGTTCAATTTCAGAAGCTAGTTGGTAGATATGTCCAGATTCATTTTTGTAGTATAGTGGCTAGTCTTGTCACTTTCAATTTCAGAAGCTAGTTGGTAGATATGGCCAGATTCATTTTTGTAGTATAGTGGCTAGACTAGACTTGTCACTTTTAATTTCAGAAGCTAGTTGGTAGACATGACCAGATTCATTTTTGTAGTATAGTGGATAGACTTATCACTTTCAATATCAGAAGCAAGTGGGTAGACAAGTCATTTTCAATTTTCAGAAGCAAGTGGGAAGACATGGTCAGATTAATTTTTGTAGTATAGTGCATAGACTTGTCACTTTCAATATCAGAAGCACGTTGGTAGACATGTCACTTTCAATTTGAAACAGTAAAACACACAATATGGAACTTAAAGATCAAACAGATCCTTCTTCAACGTGTTATAAACATACTCATCTTCTTCATCACGATCTTCTTTGTTCTTCAAGATCATCCACACCTCCAACTTCTTAGCATAAGCAGCTTGTTTCTGACCTGCGGCGTACTCCAACATCGCTGAAACAGTACTTTCCATAGATTGTTGATAGTTTTCACGAGCAGATGCTAGATTGGATAACTCATCTTCAATTTCCACTGTTGATTTCCTTGAAGTGGATGATTTACTAGAGGAAGCTCTAACTTTCTTCTTTCTTGCATCCCTACCCTCTGGACGGACAAGGGTAGGAATGGAGGATTCAACATCTTCGCCACTACTCTTTCTTTTAGAGCCACTACTACCCGATGCATTTGTTCCAGTCATATATCTGGGTTGATTTCGCACCACCTTCCACTCTTCCTCCAAAATAAACCTCGTACCTTGTAGGTGTTAAAAAATGCCCATAGGTCCTCAAACACAGTGCAAGACAAGGAAAAGACGATAAACGTTATTATCCAGATATGTAGTTTTCATCAGACCAACCACTACGCCTCTCTCTACAAGCAGTACTGTAACAGCCAACAAAACTGCTTATCTTTCTGTTAATGTCACGGAAATGACTCTGGCATCGAGCTACGGTCCTTTTTTTTCCCACTATTGGAGTTCTCATTCACGTAGTCTTTAATTTTACCCCAAAAGGTGTCACCTTTTTTATTGTTACCCAATTCACTATCATTGCTAACGTGAAAATAACCAGTTAGCAAAAGGATGTTGTCTTCGGTGCTCCAAGTATCGTAAGTAGTTTTCTTGACTGATTGTTGGGTTGGAGGTAGAAAATCATTGGGAGTATCCCCACCAACATTTCCCAAAGATACCTGGGTGGAAAAATCTGGGATGTCTGTCGATCCACTACTGAAACGAGGAGTCGTTGGCTGGCTCGACTCTGGATTTGGAACGTTCATATGGGAAGGAACATAGCTGTTTCCAGGAGATGGTTGATACCCATAAGGAAGATAAGGGTATTGCATGCCAAAATTTGGTTGCATCATATAGGGCATTTGAAAATTAGGTTGCATCCCGGTATTTTGATTATTTTCTGGGCGTTGCATATTTGGATGTTGAGGTTGATTAGGAATGTTGTAATTGAAGGGGAAATTAGGAAAGTTTTGTGATGGATCCATGAAGAAGATTGAAGAAAATAGTTTCAGAAACAAAAAGGAAGGAAAATAGGGTGTTGAAAACTCAATTTTTTTTTGGTGTCCAAATAATACAAAGTTAGACTCTATTTATAGAGCTCGAAAAATTATGAATTATGGTGCAAAAATAAAAAAATAATTCTGAGTAAATTATTGTTAAAATATCAATTAATAATTGAGGATGTCAGCAGCAGTGCACGCGGACGCGTGTTGCTCATCCATTGGGCCACATAATTTTTCCTTTCTTTTTTAATGCCAGCTGCTTTATGGAGGGGCCCGCTTGAGTCAGATTTGTGCAGAGAAAACGGACGTGAAAATTTTCCCCTCTGCGGCTTCGTTTTTCATTTCCCTATCCCAAAAACCACCGACTGTACCAAAAAACACTCCCAAAAACCACCTGCTGCAGGTGGTCTTATATTTTTTACATCAAAACTCTAAAGCCATGGTCGTTGTTGAGGGTTATATTTTTTATATTCTAACACACACGAGATGAACCAGCTTTGTGCATTCACATTCTATATGCAAAATATTTTTCATTAATTTCTTGATGCATTAGAATACATACTCTGTGCCTTGAGTGAGATAGGCAGATGATATCAAGTACTTTGTTCCTTTTTTTCCAAGGTAGATGATATATTGTAATGTTATACTGATCTATTTCGCGACAACGGAAGCAAAATTATTTGATGCAGGTTGGTCTTCAAATGATCATGATTGCCAAAATATCAGTTTCTCTCAGAACGTTCACAAGTTATAGGACAAAGCTTTAGAGCGTGCAATTCCGCCTGATCCCTGTATTACCAAAATGAGGGGAAAATTACCTGTGCAATTTGGAAAATTTCCAAGCTTAACTGAATCAATACTGATAAAAAATAAGTGTAAAGCTAGAAATACATTCCAATATTTAAGCACAATATATATATATGTCATTCTAAAATGTTACAACAATGTTATTCCCTCTGAAATCATACATATATTTTTTGACAGCCCTGGAAAAGAATGTGGAGTCCGCTTCTCTCATTATCCGAGGGTCGAAGGATTCTTCATCTTTTACAAAGAGCACACATACTGCAGTCATAAAGGCTTCAATATGGTGGTTCCTTTTTTTTTGGGTTTTTTTTTTTCAAACATTACTGAATTCTATTCAAATTATTCCAATATACAATGATTATTGACCCCATACTTCTTGTTTTGCTGGTGCCAATAATGACTTACAATATTACAAAATTTTTACAGGCTGACAACTAAACTTCAAATTGATTTCCATCAGAAACAATAATTTTGGACCTGAACCTTCCTATGGGTTTTCAGGGAATACAGTTTGAATAAAACTCAAGAAGCGCTGAGAGTAGAACTCGGGATCCACTGCAGAAATGGAGAGCGAATCAAACTGGATAGATTTGTAAGCATGCTCAATCTTTTTGCTGATGTTGTAGTCCTGCAATATGTCAATGATCCCAAGGTACAGAACAACATCATAAACCTCATGAAACACTTGAGTTTCGTCTTTGGCTCGAATGCGCTCTGCCCTTGCTGGCATATTGACTCCCAATTGGATCTGAAGTCTGGTCAAATAAAATTTTGAGAGCAGCATTATTAAAGAAATATTTTAAAAAAGGGCAAAACTTCTTGTTCCATTCATTGACTTTAATCATATCGTTACAAGAAATCACACGTACACGAGGTTTGAAAATGCAACTCGACAGTATCTTTATTTTAGTTATTTGAAACAAAGGTAATTTCATTTAAATTTTGATGCCCATAAGAGTAAGCAGCATAAAGAGCAGCTGTTAATAAATATTTTGCCATTGTAAGATTAAAAATATATGTGTAAAATGATATGAAAAGTTATCAACTGATCTGTAGTTTTTAGAAAAAGTTTATGACTGACATGTCACTTAGATAACAAAAACAAATGTTTTGGAAGGTAACCAAAACCTTTGGCAAAGGAAAAGTTGTTTTCCTTTTCACAAATCATAGAGACTACTCACCTAGCTGTACCAGGAAGTAGGAGATCCACTTCCTCATCACCAGCAGCTGATGCCCTCAGACGGCTGCCTCGTATATGAGGACCCACAACAACACTGTTTTCATCGCTACGAGGAACCAGAACAAGGCCTTGAGGGTAGTTGAAAATCTCTTCCTCATGAGCATCTACAAGAGGATAGTCACAGAATCAATAGATTACATTTCATTCTCCATTAAGTGCTCCTTAAGTTTTTAATGAAAGAAACTAGTATTATTGCACGTGCAATGAATGCGCAAACTTAATCAATCATCACAATTTTATATAAATGGGGCACTTAAGTTTTTTCGAATTTGCTATCACATATATTTTCAATTTGAGTGGTGACTGGATTTTCACAAAAGAAAATAGGATAGCTCGTAATTTGGCGGATTATTTTCAAAAGACCATCCTAAGAACACTTTAGATAATGTTAATAAGATGAGTATTTTTCATATTTTATCTTCAAATTATTTTATTTATTTATTTTTAACTCAAGTATGTAGATATATTTTCATTTTTGACAATATTTAGATGAGAACATATTGAAATTCCAATTGTTGTATTAATATTAATTTATATCTAATAATTTATTTTAGAAAAGAACCTTGTGATGTTGTATTTATATCTCTTACAATAAAAATTGTGATACGTATTTAATTAGTGATTTCCAATTATATACTCATGTCATAGTTTAGAATGTTCTAAAAAAAGAAAAAAGAAAAGGAAAAAAGGAAGACATATCTCTTATAAAATTACAGAATTTGCCTCCTATATATATTATATACTAAATATATATATAGAGAGGAGAAGAGAGAGAGAGCAGAGAGTAGAGAGAGAGAGAGAAGAGAGAGATATTAAATGGGTATCCTTGTCATAGGGGGGGGGCGGGGGCGGCGGCGGGGGCCGCCGCGGCGGGCGCGCGGCGGCGGGGGGGCGGGGCGCGGGGCCGCGCGGGCGGGCGCGCCGATTTCATACTGACGGCCTCTAAAATCACATGAATTGAGCTATTTGGATGATCGCTCCGTTGAACTTGATCTACATATTCTAAAACCCCAACACACCAATTTTTGGGGTGAATCCGTCGTCGTTGACCCTCCATCGAGCCATGTGAAAAGTTCTATTCATTCAAAAACCGTTAAAATTGATACGATGGGATGGTTTTAACGGTTTTGAATGAATAGAACTTTCACATGGCTCGATGGAGGGTCAAACGACGACGGGTTCACCCAAACTTGGTGTGTTGGGGTTTAGAATATGTAGATTCAAATTCAAGCGAACGATCATCACATGTCGCTCATCATGTGATTTTAGAGGGTCATGGGAGAAATCCCTCCTAATGACAAGGATACCCATTAATCTCTCTCTCTCTCTCTCTCTATATATATATATATATATATTATATATATATATATATATATATATAGAGAGAGAGAGAGAGAGAGAAATGGGTATGCTTGGTACCAAGCACAAAAAATTGTGCTTGGTAGTGAGGTGGCATAATCTCTTCCACTCATTCAAATGGTTACATATCCCATGCACTTCTCAACCCATGGAATGTGATCCACTATTGAATGAGTGGAAGGGAATTGTGCCACCTCACTTACCAAGCACAAAATTGTGTGCTTGGTACCAACATACTATATTTCTCATATATATATATATTTATATATATATATTATATATATATAATATATATTATATATATATATATATGAGAAAAATAGGTATGTTTGTACCAAGCACAAAAAGTTGTGCTTAGTAGTAAGGTGGCATAATCCTCTTCACTCATTCAAATTATTGCATATCTCCATGTACTTCTTAACTCAATTAATGTGGTCCTCATTTGAATGAGTGGAGGATTGTGTCACCTCACTACCAAGATAAAATTTGTGTTGGTACCAAGCATACACATATTTCTCTCTCTCTCTCGTCTCTCTCTCTTATATATATAATATATTATTTATATATATATATATATATATATATATAGCATACACATATTCCCCTCTCTCTCTCTCTCTCTCTAATATATATATATAAATAGAGAGAGAGAGAGAGAGAGAGAGATAATGGGTATCCTGTCATAGGAGAGGATTTTCTCCTTACGCCTATGTGGCACAATCCCCACTATTCTTATAAAATATGAGAGAGAGGGTGTGGAGTTGATGGGATTTGTGCTACTTTATGAGGATGGTGGGGATTATGCCACATAGACGACAAGGAGAGAAATCTCCTCCTATGACAAGGATACCCATTAATTTATATATATTATATATATATATATATATATATATATATATATTATATATATATATGGAGGACAATCGTTTCTGTATACCCCAACAGCAAAATTACCAGTATACCCCTCGCATTTCTGTTGGAAAGTAAAGTGTCCTTCAAACTTTTTGGTACCCCCACTAAGTTTTTAATATAATAGTATAGATATGGTGATTGGTGAAGCTTAACATATAATCAAGATTGACAGGTATCTTTCAGGCACTTCACATGCAAGCTATCCATCACTATGACGAATGAGCAGATTGTTTTATAAAGAACAAACTGTCCTTATCTATTTTAGCACACATGTCTTAAGTAGTCTAATTCAAGGGTACGCCTGCTGATAGGATGTAAAGTTATATAAGTTGAACATAGTTGATATATTGTTTTAGAAATTAGGTTACTAGTAGTTTAATTCACTGGCAAGGCAGATTTGTTACATAAATAGCCTTGCCACAGGATGTCTGCAGAAAAAACAAAAGATCAAGCTCGCCAAGAGAAATGTTGAAAAAAGCAAGGTGAAATAGATAGTTCCATCAAACATAAGGTCATAGATGTAAACATCCCAAAGACGCGAGAGAGACTTATCAGGACATATTAACGTATTATCATGGTTTTTTCTTGACAAAGATGCTTCCCTCCTAAAAAATGCTAAGGGGGGTTATTGGTTGGGATATTTTGGGAGATAATGGGATAATTTTGGGGATTCTATTTCATAGTGTTATTCATTGGGACAATGGAACAAGGGTAATACATTTTTGTGTTATTGATTTTTTGGAACACTAGTGAGACAATTACACCACTTGGGATAAAATTACCCCACTCATATACAAAAATTGTCCCAATAGTAAAAATTTACCCCATCCTCCATATTGGAACAATGTTGTTCCACTTCGAAGGTAATTGGGATAATTTTAAAATATTTTTGTATTACTTAACTAATACATGCAATTATATTATAAATATATGACATGATATATAAAATATAACATATATTAATATTTTAATGACATAATTTAATAACATATATTAATAATATTATATAATAGTAATTATAGTATAACATATTTATTATAATATTATATAATATTGTAATAACATATATTAATAATATTATATAATAACCTATAATAACATTTTAATATCATATATATAATATTTTAATAACATATATTAATAATATTATGTAATATATTATTATATAATATTAATTAGTAATTATAGTATAACGTATTTATTATAATATTATATAATATTTTAGTAACATATATTAATATTTTAATAACATAATTTAATAACATATATTAATAGTATTATGTAATAGTAATTATAGTATAACGTATTTATATAATATTAATATAATATTTTAATAACATATATTATTAATATAAATATTATGTATATATAACTAATTTAATAAAATATTTATTATAGTTTATTATATATATGACTACTATTATAATATAATAATAATAATTATCTAAATATTAGTAACTATTAATGATATAATATAATATAATATATAGTTGAAATAATATAATTAATATTAACTATTAACATGATTACCTTTTAATAAATATATTATGTAATATTGCATGTAATATATATAGTTTTATATATCTTTTAATTTTAATATAATATTTTAAAAAATATTACATTGAATAAAGTAAAATATTATAATATTTTATAAAGTACATTATATCCTATGATACTATATTATAATATATTAAATTAAATAATATATTATTAAAGTATTATATTATATATATTATTCATATATTATATCAATTATTATATAATGTAGCATACTAATATAATGTTAATTAGTAATTATTGTATAACATATTATATTTTTGTATAAATAAAATAATGTATTATATTAAATATTATATTATTAAAATATTATATTAAATATATTTATATAATTATATATAGTATAGCATGCTAATATAATATAATATAATACAATATAATAATTAATAATAGTAATTTGTAAGTATAGTACAATATATTATATTTTAATATAAAGTAAAATAATATTTATATTATAATAATATACTAAATAATATACTAAACCGATTGGATAAGTTAATTTAGAAGTAATTAATAGATAAAATTATATTTTAATAAGGTGCCACATCATCAATTATCTCATATGAATTGGCAAATCAAAGGCTCAAATTATCCCATTATCCCATTTTATCCCACTTTACCCCACTCCCAAAGGGGTAAAATTGTTCCATTGAAACAATTTTCTCACTTGGCCCCAATTTGTCCCAACCAATAACCCCCCATAAGTGCTCACTGGACATAATTTATAGTTCAGAAAATAGATTCTACACACTTTACCAGGACTTGATTCCAAGATTATAGCATTGTATTCAATTCTAGACACTTTTTTGTTCATATGATAACAATACAACTCATTTACTCATTGATGCATGCTTCTGAGTAGTGAGTTACCATCCTCGCATGTTATCTCCTGTTTTTTAGTTGACTACCATGAAAAGTACACTAATACTTTGCAAACGCTGAATGATTATTGGAGAAGTGTAAGACCATGCATATTCTTCTTCTCAATGTTTTTTTCCTTTTTATTTGTGTAACTTATCAGATAGTACACGATCCTTTTCAGAATCAGTACTGCAAATGAGCTATATAATTCCTGAAACACTTAATGAATACAACAAAATGGGGGTCTTATATAGTAAAATCTGCTGAAAAGTTTGCATCTCAAGGTAAGACAAGCGATCAATTCAGCATGCTTTCCAAGCTTTTAGAGGCAAGAAATAGCCTGAAATAATTCATGCTCATGAGAAAAGATGCAAGACGGTTATTAGAAGGACATATTGATCACCTTCTGAAAGGATTGCAAGTCCCTCTGCTGTCAGACTTCGATGGAGAGATACACCAGTTCGCAGATGTTGTGGAGCTCGATAATGCACACCTAACAATAGGCTATAGTCCATTATACGCTGTGTTTCCAAGAATTTACTATCAATCTCAATCTGCCTGTAGGAGATATTTGAAATAGTCATCAAGTGCTACAAGATATAGACAATCAGGCAAGATAAAATGAAACATGTCACACATTTGTTAACTATGACTAACTGAAGAAAAGCAACACCATTTCATAAGGAACAAACACATCATAAAAGATCAAAAACTTGGGTACAACTCAAAAATAAATCTACCATAACTAGTATTTTTTTATGAAGGAACAGTGATTAATCTATAGAGTTAAGCACGCTAAAGTATAAGCATCTTTAGGATGAATGACCTCCATGGAAGTTCTCATTCAAGGACGGACAAGAGGATCGAAATTCTAATCAATTCTCATCTCTTGAGAAGGAAACATAAAAAATTACATTTCAACGCCAGTCAGACACTCCTAGCACATCTATGCAGAGAATATGTCCAGAAAAGTGCAGTATATATAATTGAAAAGCTATCCATTGGTTTCCATTACTTATATGAAAATAAGCAGTATAGTTAATAATGCAAAAGTGAATTATAACTTTACTACAGACAAACAATTGAATACAATTACCAGAATATCCATAAAAATTCCTGGTTCAATGTACTGAATCAATAAGCATCACTCTTTAGGATAAAGAAGAGAGCAAGTACTTTTGGTGCCAACCGGATAAAATCAGGCAAATCAACACTAGCATGAACGGGAAAGAATAAAAATAGCCATGTAAAACACTCTTACTTCAAAAGAGCATCTCTCCAAGAAGGTTCCAAATAGAAAGAATAGTCTAGATCCAAATCTTTAAGAGTTGTATTCTCATCTATTTCAATATTTTTTGAAGAACGGCCCAGTGATGACCCTTTCAAGTCAAACCTTCTATGGATCCTCAGTTCTGTACAAAACATGTTTCCCATTACGACGAACCTGAACTGCAATGGAGAATTCATAAGATCTGATTATCATATAGAAGTCTATATAAAAGCTCCAGAACAAGTAGAACAAATTATAAACAAGTGCACAGAATAATTGAATTAAGGATATATTGAATAGAAAAACAATTGGGCATTACCTTTTGACCACTAGAGGGTATCACTCTGTGCAAACCAAAGAATTTAGTTATAAGTGTATTCTCATACGTGCGCACATGATGGTGGTAGTTTGGAAGCATCCGCAAAAGCACCTACATTTTTAAACTAAGTTACGATCTGCTGGCTGCTAATTAAAAAAATTTGATCAATAAAATGATGAGCATGCTTTGAGCCATATACTGTTTAGAGAAATGAATTGATTGGCTATGAAATGTGCAGAAAAAAAATTTAATCAGAGTTTATAGGCCTTGTTAAGCATAGAAGCACAAAAAATATATATTATTATAGTTCTAGGAGTGTCTTTTGTACTGCAAGCTCCACATGGCACCTTGGAGCTCCTATGCTTCTTTGCTTTCAGCTAGTTTTAGTTTCGCTGTGATATACATGGCACTTGGAAGTATCCTTTACCAATTGTTGGCAGGGACGTAGGCGGCAATCCCTGTATAATTCATCTAGACTATAGTATTATAGAAATTTCAAGGATAATTATTTTGACTGAACAATACTTAGGAAAATTACACTCGAAGTAGGCCAACCAATATTAGATGCTTGTCTGTCATGGCTAGCATTAGATTAACACAAAAATTCCCATATTCACAATTGACTGAACTCAGCATATAAATATATCAAACTTAGAGAGACAAACTACCTTCACTTCAGATTTACGGAGGGTTTTAATCATGAACCGGTCATCTTGAGAAAGAAAAAAAACACTTCCACTCTTCCCAGGGGAAGAAAGCTCTCTTAAAGCCGCATTTCCACAAATGGATATCATGTAGTCTGCAGCATCAATCTTGAATAATTCTCGTAAATTTCTGCATCCAGTATGGGAGACTATTACAATTAGAAACTTTAAGATAAACTCATTTAACAAAGAAATAATAATAGGAGAGCATCCAAAGGATAAACATTCAAGAAACCGTGGCTCTTCCCCAAGAAAAATTACAAATATCTGAGTGAAACTGTCTTATTTATCTTACATCAATCAATATATAAGCAATGTTTTTATATAGCTCTTTGAGTTTAGCTAAGCATGAAGAAGTTAACTGACTATTGGCTAATACTATATTTACAACAATAAATATAGAAACTTGGTAATGATTGCAGAAAGTAAGCTGGTCGGGTAGTGAATAACAACAAACTCATGAATCGTTATGGACTACAAGATTTTCACATCAACATGTAGCCAAGCAGCAAGAAACATACACACATAAGACTACAGAAGAATGAGCTAAACTTGGCTCTCAGCAAAATAGCATTTACCAATGGACATCTCTAGATTAAATCTATTCATTTAAACATGGGTTTTCAGGCTTCTTACAAAAAAATTTTTAAAGAAGGACATGGGAACATGATATATGTATGTAATGTATACATATTTTAACTGTTGATTGCATGCTTAAAGGTGCAACATGCACTATTAGAACTTTTCGTTTACCAATTTGAGATATTGACATAGGAACAAAAAGTGATTTGGATTATTGTGAAAGTAATATGATATTTTTAACCACTTCTTTCAATTCTTCCCTTGTATATCCATTAATAGATGTTCTTCTTAAATCTTCCCAATCGTTAAATACAGACCATCCTATTTTTATTTTCCATATTGCATGAAAAGTGTCTGGATCATAGGATATGGGTGTTTGAGTGTCATGTGTTTTCCAAATATCCAACATGGCAAAATATTTGTAAGGTGAAGTGTCCTGATAACACTAATTTGAAGTGAGTTCCTTTACCTTATCTTCTTCAAGTTCCTCCACTAGCTAAAATTTGTTAAGGACTAAAATGAACATTGGAGAAGTATCCTGAAAAAACTTATCACTTTTGTAACTGTCAGGTACCAATTACTAGCCCCTTCTCCGCATATCAAGAATTATTTTTCTGCACTTTATTTCCCCTGCTACTTGAGGAACACTATACAGCTAAGTCCAGGAGGCTTAAATTAGCATTACGAGTGAAAAATCACATGCTGAGGTGAAATACTTCATTTTTCTCTTCCTGTAATATAAGAGAAATCAATAAAGGAAACCATTTACTTTTACTGTATATTTCAACAATTCTGTCATATTTTTTTCATCGATTTCCCACTTTTCAATGGAATCGCTCATTGATGAGAAGCCAAAAGCATTTTAGGCCTGTGTTCAGATTAGATTCCAAATCTCTAAGCATAGAAGAAAGCAGCCTACTCTTAGACATGGTATCAAGAAAATCCTGTCTAATAAAGTTGTAGATTTTTCATTTACTTTGCTTTTTACAGTACAAAAACATGATGGAATCTTTCCTACCGCTTGGGCAGTGAGTTGTATAACATGGCATAAATAAGTTGTTTTACCCAAAATTATTCTAAAGACAGATAAAATCATTGTACTACAAACCTGAAGACTATTGGACAATAATCTTTCCACTTAAAATCTTCTGAACGATGGGGAGGTGTTAGTTGGGAACCTGCTTTAGGAAAATCCATCCAAAAGCTTGCTCGAGGACCAAAATCTGATGCGAGAACTCCACGCCTTTGAATTGGGGTTATTTTACCCACTGTATACCTGGCCATCAAATGCTCAGCATCAATCAACCACAAAAAACTTCAACTTGAACATTTAAAGATTCTAAACGAACTGTTACCATAACAGAGCATTTGGAATGAAATCCTCTGAATTTTAAAAATTTTGTAGAACTAGCAATGCTGCAAAAAAGACCACCTAATTCCAAAGTTCAAGCCCTCGTGTAATTCAATAAATTTTAAAAACCAAATAAACCAGAGAGGAAACAACAATGAGTAGTTGAAAATGTTGGAACCAGTGCTCCCAGACTCGATTTTTTTTCTAACTTCTTCGATTTTGTTATTTTATTTTTCTTTAATATTTTATTATTTATTTTTTATTTTTTATTTTTTATTTTTTATTTTTTGCATGAAGTAGTGCCATACTGTAATCATATATGAGTAGTCACAGGAGTACCAATTATATTACTGATTTTTAAAACTTAAGGTGCTATTGATATATTCATTATCATAATGGAAAATCTGATTCTCTTCCAAGAAAAATCAACAGCTATCTGAAACACTAATCGACTTTGCAACCTTATATAAGCCAATACATGCTATGCTCAATAGCTTTAACAAGCTGTGAAAAGAATTGCATCAATAAACATGAAGCATAAAATCAAAAGCAAGAGCACAAAACATGAATTAAATCTAAAATACACAGGAAATGGTGGAATTTGTTACAGCAAAATCTAACAAAAACCAGAAAAAGTTTATGTTACCTGATTCCAAGCTGCAAACTAAGCATTAGATCATAACTTCTATGACCTTTAATAATAGTTTCCCCAGGCTTTTTAACATCCTTTGCCATCTTCTTGTGACGCCGTTTTTCTCTTCTAGATGTCGAAGAGAAGCTATTATTGACGACTAGCTCACTGATTAGAACACCTTGCATATATTCCCGTTCTAGAATGGGAAAATTTGCATCTGTATGTTTTTCATTACTAACAGATTCTCCGCTGAACAGTGATACATCGTGTCCAATAACTTTTTCAATGGCCACTTCAAGACTCCAACGTCTTTCTAGAGAAACATTTTTGTTCCGGGATTGTTCATAATTTACAAGGTTGACCTTAGGAAAATTTCCTGACGAGACACTATTTGATCCTTGATCCTCACTAACCTTCATGCTTCCCATATCAACAGAAGAAGCATGAAGGATGCGTGATCCATGGTTTTGTCTTTTCAAATCAGGCAAAACCCCTCTCTGCCTTAAAGCATTAATGTAAAGTTCCTGTACAGCTGGAACCTTACTTCCATTAGGATAAAAGGCTCCTTTTCCATCCTTCAAACCCCGGGTCCAAGTTCCAACATAACACCCACCATCACTCCATGAATAGACTCCAAAGCCATGCATCATGCCATTCAACCAATTTCCCTCAAACACATCTCCACTTTTCCAAGTAAGAGTTCCCTTTCCAGACATTTTCCCTCCTTTCATGTTACCAACATAAACATTTTCGTTGGCCCATACGTATTTACCAGGACCCTCTATTGTTCCCTGAATCCAGGAGCCTTCAAAGAAATCTCCATTAGGATATGTCAGATATCCTAGCCCATGCTTAAGATTCAATTTCCACCGTCCTTTGTAGGTCAGATGATCTGCTCCAAGGTAAGATCCGGTACCATGCATGTACCCGCTAGAAAATTCTCCTTCATAAACAGCACCTGAAGGCCACGAGATTTTCCCATTACCATGTCTCATCCCTCTTTTCCACTCACCTTCATATGTGCAACCATCAGACCAGGCATATTTGCCTTGACCCTCTGGCATGTTGCCCAATGTTGTTCCAGAATACCAGTCGCCATTTGGAAGTAGAAGCTCGACGACGACTCCGAGGCCAACAGTTTCACTATTTAAATTAAGTGAGACGAGTTTTTCGCTAACGCAACTGACATCACGGCATAGAGTAGATCTTTCTGAACATGATGCCCCATTGTTACCATCATCGAAGACCACAGGGACTGACATGCACAATGACCCAAATGTGTCAATCCCTTGGCTGAAGAAGGTTTTCAATTATCCAAACTGAACAAAACGGGTAGAAAAATAAAATGAGAAACTTCTTGTGAACAGCGTGCATCAGATTATGTTAAACTCAACCGTTTAATTTATACCTGATTACCTGGTATGGGGAAGCGCTTCCAATGAGGTTCGAAAAGAGAAGCAATCCGATGTTTTTAAATTTTACACTACAAAAGAAACACGATTGAATGAGCTGATGCATAGGAACTTTAAAACGTGTTTTCACATACATAAGATCCAAGAAGCACACTTGAAGGTTTGAAGTCCTCTTAATGTATAGTAACAGTGCAAAACTGCAAATCTTGACAGAACTCAGGCAAAAGATTGGGATATGCGTCTCTTGTAACTAAAATGATAAAACATATTGTTTCCAATCCAAAATCAAACAAATATCAACATGTATGAACCGCAACAAGTGCTTTAGACTCTTCTCTATGAAGGACATTATATCAGGTTAGAACTGAAATTGCGTGCCAATTAAATTCATCTTTATTTTCATAGCTTTTTGTAATGTAAGAGAAAATATTAATTTCAGACCATGCAGCTAATGCAAACTGAGACAGTGAAGCAAAGTTCAAACTAATTTGCACTCTTGCGAAGCTGCAGAAACTCGAAATGTAGAATTGGAGGCGAAGGCGATGAAGCTCAGGAAAATTGAAGCAGAAAACGTTTTGGATGTTGCACGGTCGACCGCGAGAGGCGCGGTGGTCGACTGCGAACGTGCACGAATACAGGAAAAATCTCTGACTTTTTGCGGTCGACCACGAGTGGCGCGGCGGTCGATCGTGGACCCTGTAATCGTTTTTCGTGGGTTTCTGTCTTCTGTCCGGTCGACTGTAGCCTCATGTGCAGTCGACCGCGATGCGATTTTGGGACTGGGCTTGGTTTCCTGTTCTGATTGGGTTTGTTGTTTGATATAAATAGCAACCAAGTTTCTTAGGGTTTTCTATCGATTGATTGGGTAGCTTGAAGGAGATTTTGAGCACAGAAAAAGAGAGTTTTTCTGAGCAATTTGTTTGAGGGTTTAGTTTGTGAGATTTGAGAGATTCGTTTGAGAGGTTAGTTGAGTAATCTTGTAATCTTTATTTTGTACTCTCTTTCTTTATAGTGAAAACTCATCCCCTTCTTATCCCGTGGACGTAGGCAATTTGCCGAACCATGTTAAATTTTGTGGTTGAGTTGGTGCCGTTATTTTGGATTGTTTTTACTTTCTCTCTTGGTATTTGTGTTAGTTTTTCACCACGCACAACAAGTGGTATCAGAGCTCGGGCTACGCTTCAACTATTTGGAGGAGTAGATCACTTTGGAAGTTCGGCTAGGGCTTCGTTTGGAGATAAATGTGAGATTTTTTTTGGTAAAGACTCTTATCTTTTTTTAAGCCTTTGGATCTATTCTTCGTTTGTTCCGTTTTGGTTGTTGATGCTTTGAGGAATTATGATCAGGAAAGGAGTTGTGGAGGGTACTTCAGATGTGAAGACCGTCCAAAGTTTGAATATTCACTCTATAAAGATAGACGTGGAGAAGTTTAATGGCACTAACAATTTTGGACTTTGACGATATGAAGTCTTGGATGCGCTCAACGCGTAAAATTTAAAAGATAATTTGAAATTGGATGGCAAGCCAGATGATATTGATGAGAAGGTTTAGAAAAAATGAATCGAACGACGTGTAGTATGATTAGGTCTTGTTTGACTCAAGATTTGAAGTATGATGTGATCAATGAGACTTCAGTTAAGAAGATTTGAAAGATCCTTGAGAGCAAGTATTTAACCAAGAGTGTGAAGAATCGCTTGCATGTGAAGATGATGCTTTATCGCTTCCAATTGAAGAAAGGAACCTTCATTGGTGATCACATGAATCACTACACAAAGCTTTTTACGGATTTAACGAATGTAGATGTTATGATTGAAGATGAGGACAAGGCATTGTTGTTGTTGAGTTTCTTACCTGACAAGAAATATGAGACCTTCGTCCTTACTCTTGTTAATGGGAAAACATTTCTTTCGTATAGTGAGATCACCGCTGTACTTGTGAATTATCAGCTTCGAAAAAAAGATAAAGAGACTTCAATTGAGACAGTAGCGGAGGCGTTGGTCACAAGAGGGAAGAATCCAAACCGAAAGAATTGAAAGTTACAGTCTAGAATAGGGCATCCTACAGTTGGAAAAAATCAGTGTACTTGGTGCAAGGAGATTGGTCGTTGGAAAAAAGATTGTCCAAAGCTCGACGAATGGATGAAGAATAAGCAGAAAGAAAAAGGGCAGCAACCATCATCAGAAGCAAACATCGTTATATCGGACGGTAATATTTTTGATACTTCTATTTATTCGTTTTCTATCAGTCCTACAGGTAGCTATTCGGAGGAATCCGAGTAGATGTTGGATAGTGATGTAATCTATCATGTGTGCTCTAGACGGGAATGGTTCGCCAGTTTTGAGAAACTGGAGAGTGATGTGGTGTACATGGGTGATAATCGTGCATGTCAGATCCTTAGGATAGGAAGAATTCGCATCAAAATGTATGACGGGACAGTTAGAGAGTTACATGGTGTGAGATATATTCCTTCTTTGAGAAAGAATTTGATCTCGATTGGAGCTTTGGTTGGAGAGGGTTTTAGAGTTCGTATCGAGAACATGATTCTTAAGATTGTGGAAGACTCTCGTATTTTGATGAAGGGCGTCAGGAAGAATAACCTGTACTATTTGATTGGGAATACGGTGACAGGTGAAGAGCTGACGACTTCTGTTGATTCGACTAGACTGCGGCATTTAGGGCTTTGTCATTCCAGTATTGATTTGGAGATGGGTGCACATACTTACAATTTGAAGTCTAGTGAACACTTTGATGTGAGCAAGAAGACTGAGGTAAAATTTGGCACCTCTATTCACCGCACGAAGGGTCTTTTTGATGGAGTTCACGTGGCATTTGGGGGCCTTCCAATGATGCATCATTGGAAGGTAATAGATATTTGATTTCCTTTGTTGGTGGATGTTCTAGGCATGCTTGGGTTGCAACTAAATCCCGATTGGATAAAATCCTAGTAGTCTCCAATAGATTGAAGAAGTGTGAGATTGACAGAAAGGTAAAGGTACTTCATTCTGATTTTGGTGGGAGGTACAAGACGGACCTATTTTTGCATTTGAGCTGAGCTCACGGTATTTTAAGACATCGATGGAAAGGAAATCTTAGGCAACGAGATGAGATGATAGATTTGGTGAGTTGTTCCTTGCTGGAGGAGGAGCGATGTTTGATGTCTAGCATTGATTCTGGTGTTGAGGCTTTAACATATTTGGGTCATCTTGATCATAGGTTGTCGACTGTTACGATTGAAGGTAAAACTCCATTGGATGTTTGGTCTGGTAGTGTCATTTCGATTGAGGCTTCGATGAGTGAGCTAATTGACTCTCAGTAGGTGGAGAGTTTTGGACAGACCTTAGATGTATCGTAATGGATGAAGAGTAATGCTACTTCACATTGGGTGAAGATTACTCCACATACTCCAGATCATACTGCATCGTTTGGGATTCCAGCTGAGGTGACACAGTTAGGGGATCATTTGGATTTACGTGCAGATGATGAGTTGGTTGATTCGAATACAGTTGATGGATATGATTTGGATACGACCATTGGTTCACCTCAGGTGGAGGTGTTTGATTTGTTTCACTTTGGGATCATTTGAAGAGCTATCAACCGCATATTTGTTGGTGAAGAGTCAAGAACTTTTTTATTTGATTGAGGGTCTTTGGAGGTCATTTGGGGAACTACGTGAAAGTTTGATTCCTTGAGCAAGAGGATACGTAGGCAGTCATTTATGATGCAGCCGGTTTGGTGAGTTGATACCGACGTTTAGAGAGTGATCATATTCTCATTTATCATTTGGGTCTCGACTTGTTGTGGATTGAGTTTGTTATCGTGGTTTTGTTCCACTTCGTACTGGACGTAACAAGTGAGACATTTGATTTGGTTGGTGCCGGCTTAGTTTTGGGAAGACTTCACCGAGGTGGAGAATTGTAGAATTGGAGGCGAAGGCGACGAAGCTCGGGAAAATTAAAGCATAAAACGTTTTGGATGTTGCACGGTCGACCGCGAGAGGCGAGATGATCGATCGCGAACGTGCACGAATACAAGAAAAGTCTCTGGACTTTTTGCGGTCGACCGCGAGGGGCGCGGCGGTCAACCGCGGACCCTGTGATCGTTTTTCGTGGGTTTCTCTGTCTTCTGTCCGGTCGACCGCAACCTCATGTGCGGTCGACCGCGATGCGGTTTTGGGCCTGGGCTTGGTTTTTTGTTCTGATTGGATTTGCTATTTGATATAAATAGCAACCACGTTTCTTAGGGTTCTCTATCGATTGATTGGGTAGCTTACAGAAAAAGAGAGTTTTTCTGAGCAATTTGTTTGAGGGTTTAGTTTGTGAGATTTGAGAGATTTGTTTGAGAGGTTAGTTGAGTACTCTTGTAATCTCTATTTTATACTCTCTTTCTTTATAGTGAAAACTCATCCCCTTTTTGCTCCGTGGACGTAGGCAATTTGCCGAACAACGTTAAACTTTGTGTTTGAGTTGGTGCCGTTATTTTGGATTGTTTTTCTTTCTCTCTCGGCGTTTGTGTTAGTTTTCCGCCGCGCACAACACGAAAGAACCCAAAACATTTGTGCTTCAACTAAGATTGTTAACAAATCCAATTCGAATTCTTTGTCAAAATGAAGGAAATAGAAGAGAAGAGAGCACAATTGCTGCCCACTTTGTACAAGTATACTATCAAAAGGATGCATTTCCTCATATAACTTTTAGACATCAAAAACTTAAAATCAATTATTCAGTAATTTTAAGAAATTTTTCTTCTTATCGCTTGGAAATCAAACTACAACCAATTCCCACTAACCCATAATCATCATTCACGACCTAAATCCTCAAATTGGGTCAACCCAGAACTTAATAAAACCTAACCGATGCGACCCAAAATTAAGATCAATCCACAAATTAAGCCCATGAAAAGAGAGAATACCCAAATTCAAATATTGCAAAATAACAAAACAAAGAACGCATAAATTGAACACAAGGCTCTTCAGTGATATTGGGCTTCGGATTAAAAATTACCCAGAATCAGATCCCATTAATCAAAAATTTGATTGGAAGCACAGAATGAAATAGAGAAAGTCAACAGAGTTGGAGTAAGAGAGAGAGAGAGAGAGAGAGAGAGAGAGAGAGAGAGAGAGAGAGAGAGAGAGAGAGAGAGAGCTCACGAAATCTTTGAGGAAGTTGATGAAGTGGGTCGATCGGTTCTCTTTCGCTTACGTTTGCTGCTGCCATCGAAGCTTTGAGGGACTCCGAGGGCTGTTGTAAATAGAGGAATTTATTATTTGGGAAGAGCGGGTACGTGGGTTTGAGTGGGCTCAAAGTAACCCACCCGCGGTGGTGGGGAACGAAATGGCGGCTATAGTCAGGAAATTAACACTAAAATTTTAATTGGGGGGTTTCTCATATAAACCCTTCATTTCTAAATTTATTAAATTGTCTTATGATCTTAATTTTATGAAGATATCGTTACCTGTCTCCCTCTTCTATTTTTAACCTTTTCAGATCATGTTAACAACGTGGAGATTAATTATTTTAAATTTTAATAACCAAGATTAGGTAATATGCGGAAATTGCGAGATCATTATAATTTAGGGGATAAAATGGTTTTATCGTAATAGGATAAAAATTTAAATTTGTTTATCCTTTGGAGGGTGTATAAAGAGAAAACATAAAGTTTATTTTTTTAGTTTAGAGTGGACAGAAGAAGAGATAAGTTGGAATCATGTGATGCAAAAAAGTTGAAGCTCATGTTCTCCCTACTAAACCTTTATCTATTATTTACCTTCCAATGAGTGAGTTTTTGTCTCTCTAATTGGATTCTAGTTCAGCCTTGTTGGTTTGTTGATCTATATTATGTATATTTCTTGTCTTAGATGACATCCGTGCAAGAGTTGGTATTTTTGAGATGGCTATAGAATTAAAAAATCTGCATATTTAATTTGTATTAGGTAATGCATTTTTTGATTAAGAACATTCTACTTCAAAAGAGTTTTTTTTTATATATATACCCAAAATATAGAACCATTTTCCATTCAGAAGAATGGTTCCGAAATGAATTTTTTACATAAATAGAAAGGCATATTTCACTCTCACCAGTTCTTTTTCTACTCTAGTTTTAGGAAACTTCTCGAGATCTTGATGGTGAAAGCAAAGGTTTCTAGTGTTTTTGTATTTGATTGAAATCTCGAATGTTGAAGAACAAATCATAATCAGGGTCTACTCTTGGGAATTTGAAGCTCTAAAAGCAAAGTATATTAGAAAACGATTTTTAGTGGATAGAATCTTGGTCCATGAACTATTTCCTAGCATTGCGAAAAACTAGACCAAAATTGAACATTTTTATAATTCAAATTCTAGTCCTTAAACCCATTTCCTTATGGGCCCACTCTCAAACCAACTCTGGCTTGGACGGAGGAAAACGAAATCCTGGCCTTGTTTCTTTTTGAAGCACCAAACGCAAGCCTAATCTATTATCTCATCTCCTCTTGCAACATGAATATTGAGTGTTGTTAAAGTTGAATAAGATATGGATACTGAAAAACAATATAGAGAGACCCATGAACAAAGAAACTTTCTTCTTATTCTTAGACATGATACAAAAAGTTATTAGTTGGTATAAGCGAGAGCTCCAGAAAAACTTTCTTAGAAAGCGGATAACAAAGTATTATCATTATTATATTATTTTCTTCTTCTTCTTATTTTCTTGTTGCTCATCGGATGACAAGTATCTATTTACCCGAACATCAAAACATAATAATATTACGAAATAATATTCTTGCAATAGGCTAAATTTCCAATTTAAATGAGTTAATTAACTTCAAATGGATTGTAAATATTTTTTAATTGTAGGGGCGAGTTGTAAATTTTAAGGCTTTAGAATGTAATTTTCATAACTTTACGGTCTTTACCTGTGGCTGTGGATCCGCCCTGGGTAAGACAGCAAACATTTTCAAAAGAAAAAAAAAAAAAAACACAATCTCGGACCAAGAAAATGATACCTGCTGCTTCAAGATTTAGCTCGCGGGAATGCGATCAAACTGGATTATTCCTACCATCAGATGATTCCGGATGTGGATGTTGTCTAATTGGGTAATAAACTCACATCCTACCCTTTAATTAACGGGCAGCCTCACCGATACCCGCTAACTAATCGGATCCGGTATGAGAATCCGAAAAATCTAGCGAAAATTTTATTTATTCGTGACAAAACGACTTCCTCAAAAAGAAGCCACGTGTCCGACAACCTTTCCATCAACAACGACCGTCATAGTTGAGATGCGGAGCTATCAGCTTAGATTAATTAGTTCGATGAGATTAGGAGGATAAGATTCTCACCAGATTTGATTTAATCACGCGCGCACAAATTACTGCAGAGAATGTGGACCTAACATCCGCTTGAAAGAACATGAGATTTTGTTTCGTTGCAATTCCTTGTTCATCGTCTCCGAGGGGACAATAAATAGTGACCATTTACATCTAGGGTTTATACAAACTATTTACATCTAGAGTTTACAAATAACCACGACAAAGACTCAATGATTAAACAATGACAGGTGACGTTCCTAATTAAAAAAAAAGGGATGACTGAAAGCTTTGGTGGGGGGGGGGCGGGTTAGCGAATGCACCACTAGTTATCTCAATTTTGCAGGGGAGACAAGCATATCGTTGCAAATTATATTAACAATATATATCAACCCAAAAATACAACTAGCTAAAGAATTAAGGGAATGGTAAGTAGAACAAGCATACTTTCATATAACACAAAAATAAAATAGTATTATATTTTAATCTACTATGCATGTTTCATTTGGAAGAAGACGCAAAAACAAAAGGATCTCCATCAATGCTTTTTATAAATGAAAAAAATTCAAATTAGTGACATTATGCATACATCACAAAATTCGACACAAGAACAATATTAGAAACCTATTCTTATTAACATATTTAAATCTAACTAAATTTTGTCAATATACAGACACGCTATTGTACATTTAAGGCAAAGATAACTACTATTTTGAATAGACTCGAACCGTAGTTTTATACTTGCAAAGGCTGCAACAAGAAAGTAGATAAATATGTTAGTAACGAGTGTCTGAATGATAAATGCTGCAGAATTATTGATGGCTCAGTATCAAGGTTAAGTAATATATCTTTTTTTATGGCATGAACATATTAAAATACAATATTAACTATCTCTAGAAATCGACAATGAAAACTACAGGTACGAAAGTAGATAAATATGTTAGTAACGAGTGTCTGAATGATAAATGCTGCAGAATTATTGATGGCTCAGTATCAAGGTTAAGTAATATATCTTTTTTTATGGCATGAACATATTAAAATACAATATTAACTATATCTAGAAATCGACAATGAAAACTATAGGTACGTAGTTAAGATTCTCATGGAAAATAGCACGGATAATGCAAGAGTAACACTATTTGATGCAGCAGAAACTCTTATTAGATGCACAATAGAAAAATTCATTATAGAAAAAAGAGGTAATTCCTAACTCTATTCAAGTAATAATTTAGAAATAAAAAAATCATATATTTTAAAATAACATTTGTTCTCATTAAAACAGAAAAATAATCAGAGTCCATATTTCCAGAAATTTGTATTGAACATCGAAAAAACGTTCAAATTCCTGGTGAAGTTAGATGAAAAAACAAAAGATGAATGAGGCAAATGAAATATAATAGCACAAGAAATCTAACTCCAGCCTGATATCGACGTAGATGATGAAGATGCTACTCTAGAATTGTCCAGGAAAAAGATAAAGGTGGAGAAAGATTGATCTCAGTTCAATTAAAATATGAAACAAAAATAATAAATGATAATATTTTTTGATCATTTTATATCATATCTTAATTTTTGAGTAGAATTAGGAATTTTTATAAGGGATTTTCATACAACATTATTAGTAGTTTTGTATGCTTATGTGGTTGCTTTCATCACATAAAAGTATATTATAGTTACCATTGTTATTTAGTTTTTATCTTTTTATTACTGCTTTTGGACAATTATAGGTGTATTTCCCTGTCTTTTCTGTAATTGGTATGTTTTGTTCTTCAAATTTCATTGTAAATTTCTGTATGTGATTGTTCTAATCTTACTGCTTTTGGATAATTACTCTCTGATTGTAAAGTTTTGCGATGCGCAATTGTTTAAAACCTTTATGTTTCTTCGAGTTTGTTCTAAATTTGTTTATAGGTTTGCTCTAATCTTACTGTTTTTGGATAATTACTCTCTGACTACAATGTTCTGCAATGCGCACTTGATTGAAATCTTCATGTTTCTTTGAGTTTCATTATAAATTTTTTTATAGGTTTGCTAAAATCCTGCTTTTCAATAATGCATATTATTGTATAGGTTGATTTTATTATCTCATGTAAGAAGATGTATCTCAGAACCATTCCTTGCAATTTATTTTTATATGATTATTATGGGGTAGTAAAATTGTTTATTACAAAACATAAGCTTATAATGTCCCAATGTGTTGTGCAATTTTATTTTTAATGTAATAAAAAATGTGATTTCTTTTTTACTAGAACATTAGTTCATAATGATATTGCTATTCATGCTTGACTCCATATTATATCTTGGGATTAGTAGAGTTTGGAATATGACATAAAGTATTAATTTTATCACTTTTGAAGGGACATTTTCTCTTTTCTTTTCTTTTTGCCAAAGTTAATTTAAAGGGATCGAGAAATACTTGTTTCACATCTTATGCTCATCGTATTCCAATTCCTATCACTTTTGAAGGGACATTTTCTCTTTTCTTTTCTTTTTGCCAAAGTTAATTTAAAGGGATCGAGAAATACTTGTTTCACATCTTATGCTCATCGTATTCCAATTCCATCACTTTTGAAGGGACATTTTCTCTTTTCTTTTCTTTTTGCCAAAGTTAATTTAAAGGGATCGAGAAATACTTGTTTCACATCTTATGCTCATCGTATTCCAATTCCTTTGACTTTAATCTTATTTTCCTTGTATTAATAAGCTAACTTTAATCCACTTTTCTCTCAAACAACAAAAGAATAAATCTACTTTAATTAAAAAAAGATACGGATACTGAAAAACAATATAAAGAGACCCATGAACAAATAAACTTTCTTCTTATTCTTAGACATGATACAAAAAGTTATTAGTTGGTATAAGTGAGAGCTCCAGGAAAACTTTCTTAGCTAGAAAGCGGATAACAAAATATTATCATTATTATATTATTTTCTTCTTCTTATTTTTTTGTTGCTCATTGGATGACAAGTATCTATTTACCCGAACATCAAAACATAATAATATTACGAAATAATATTCTTGCAATAGGCTAAATTTCCAATTTAAATGAGTTAATTAACTTCAAATGGATTGTAAATATTTTTTAATTGTAGGGGCGAGTTGTAAATTTTAAGGCTTTAGAATGTAATTTTTATAACTTTATGGTCTTTACCTGTGGCTGTGGGTCCGCCCTGGGTAAGACAGCAAACATTTTCAAAAGAAAAAAAAAAGAAAACACAATCTCGGACCAAGAAAATGATACCTGCCGCTTCAAGATTTAGCTCGCGGGAATGCGATCAAACTGGATTATTCCTACCATCAGACGATTCCGGATGTGGATGTTGTCTAATTAGGTAATAAACTCACATCCTACCCTTTAATTAACGGGCAGCCTCACCGAAACCCGCTAACTAATCGGATCCGGTATGAGAATCCGAAAAATCTAGCGAAAATTTTAATTTATTCGCGACAAAACGACTTCCTCAAAAAGAAGCCACGTGTCCGACAACCTTTCCATCAACAACGACCGTCATAGTTGAGATGCGGAGCTATCAGCTTAGATTAATTAGTTCGATGAGATTAGGAGGATAAGATTCTCACCAGATTTGATTTAATCACGCGCGCACAAAGTACTGCAGAGAATGTGGACCTAACATCCGCTTGAAAGAACGTGAGATTAATTTTGTCTACTCAATTTAAATTTAAATTTTTGTTTCGTTGCGATTCCTTGTTCATCGTCTCCGAGGGGACAATAAATAGTGACCATTTACATCTAGGGTTTATACGAACTATTTACATCTAGAGTTTACAAATAACCACGACAAAGACTCAATGATTAAACAATGACAGGTGACGTTCCTAATTTAAAAAAAAATTAAGGAATGAATGAATGGTGGGGGGGGGGCGGGTTAGCGAATGCACCACTAGTTATCTCAATTTTGCAGGGGAGACAAGCATATGAGGGGGAACTCAATGAAACTTTTGGAATTGGGAAGAATACGTAGAGGGATTGATTGATTTAAGTTGAATGCGAACTTTAGATTAAGGGGCTGTTTGTTTGCCTAAAAAAGAGGGAAATCAAAGAAAAGGAAACCTATTTCTAAGAAAAATAGATTTTGATAATGTTTGGTTGGCTAAAAAAAGAAGGAAATCAAAGAAATTGAGATGAGATGAGATGAGTTGTCACCTTATTATAGGATGATGTGAGTGATTTTTTAAGAAAACTTGTTTTGATGTTGTTTGGTTGGCGAAAAAAAATAAGGAAATGAATTATAAGAAACATATTTCTTGTAATAGGTTGTTTTCTTTTGTTTGGTTATTTCTTAAAAATAAGAAAATAGATGAGATGAGATGAGTTGTCATTATATTATTGGATGATGTGACGCATACTTAAGAAAATTGTTTTCCTAGCTTTTTGGGAGGAAAACAAAGAAATAAAATGTTAATGAGATGAGATGAGTTGTCACAATCTTATTGGATGATGTGAGTGATTTTTAAATATGAGATGAGATGAGTTGAGTGATGTTGTGGATGAAAATAATATTTTATTAGATGTGGTGGATGTGATGGATGAGTTGTTGGATGAAAATAATATTGGAGTTGTCACAATCTTATTGGATGATGTGAGTGATTTTTAAATATGAGATGAGATGAGTTGAGTGATGTTGTGGATGAAAATAATATTTTATTAGATGTGGTGGATGTGATGGATGAGTTGTTGGATGAAAATAATATTTTATTAGATGTGATGGATGAGTTGTTAGATAAAAATAATATTTTATTAGATGTTGTGGGTGAGTTTTATGGATGAAAATGTGTGAAATTGTACTTTTTGAGATTTCTTAGTTTTCATTTCTATTTTTTGGTTTTTTAGGAAATAACCAAACAGGTATGGGAAAATATTCTCAGAAAATGGAAAAAAATACCTCACGCAGAGCCGAGAGCGGCAGGGGACCCTGCGATTTATTTTATTTTGTTTTACTTGCTTTTTTTTTCCAGAGAGCTTTAACGGGTTCGGGTTGGGTTCCCAATTTGAACAACAAAATTTGAACCCAAACCTGATCTGGCCCAACTTCTTTTGCTAAAATCTGTGGCGCTTTTGCCTCATGGGCTATGCTCAAGGCCTTGGGAGGGGCCAAAGTTTGATGTCGACTTGGCAAGT